CACTTCCACGGGGGCGCCCGGCTCGGCGGGGGCGACGGCGGCCCAGCCCGGGGGGGTGGTGGGTGCCCGTGGAGCGCCCACGCGGAGGGCGATGGCCGCCGAGGAGTTGCCCAAGAAGTTGGCAGCCGTGCAGGTGTAGGTGCCGGCGTCCGCCGGCCGCGCTGTCGGGATCAGCAGCTCCGAGCGCACCATCTCCTCGCTGATGGGCTGCGTGGACACTGCGGGCACAGGGGAGAGTGTCAGCCGGCGGGACCCTCTCCTGCCTCCGTGGGCAGGGACCCGCCACGCCCCGGGGCAGCCCCGGGACCGCTCTGGTGTGGATGGGGCCAGGCAGGACCTGCCCTGCCCAAGGAAAGAGGAAGAGGGGCCCGGACTGTGCCCTCTGCCATCAGCATCCTCAGGTCAGGGCACGGCAGGGAGAGCCACTGAGGCACAGCTGCATTCTGCACACACCCGAGTGCAGAACAATGTCAGCTTGGACCAAAAAGTTGTGTGGAGCCAGGAATTTTGGGGTGGAAGGAAGATGCATCTTGAAGGATTGTATGAAACCCCCTGTTGTTCCCCAAACAGGGAGCACGACTCTGGGCTTGGGAAGAGCCTCTATGTAGTTAATCCTGGAGGTGCTTGTGGAGAGCTGCACAAGTGCTGCTGTAAGGCAGCAGCTAAAGCAAACATCACCCAGGATGGAGGGCTGATGCTGTCTTATTTAGCTACCTGGCTCATTAGGAACACACGTAACCTAGGCGGTGCCCACATGCACCTGACAAAAATAGCAACTTGTCCTGGTGAAGGCTCTTAGTGAAAAATAAACGTGAGGGAGATCATGAAAGAGCCGAGCTGGATGGGGAGGAAGAGGGAAAGGCCTCGTATTATTTATGTTCAATAAAGAACATAAATAAGCAAAGCAACCACCTCTGTTTTTGGTTGTAGAAGATGAATGGACACAGGCAACAGGGCTGCAAGGTTTTGTGGGTTTTGTGCTCCTACAAACACACACGGACATATGAGTGTGTGCATATATATGTAGTGTATAATATATAGTGTAAATATTTACATGTCTAGATAACTACATATTTATTATACATGTATGACTGATGTAGTATTAACAGTTCTTACATCGTGTGTCATGACGAAGAGCTACTACTAAAAATCAACACATAAAATAATTGTGTAAAAATGAGGCCACACTCCTTTCATCTTTGACTGCTATCCTGTGTGAAGCAGCTCTTCTCATGCTCAGACATGCTTAGACACGTAGGATGATTAAGATTATTTGGATTATTGCCACCACAGTAACTGTGATGATCTAAAGGGGCTGAGAACTGGTGTGGTGACTGTGATGGCCTGAAGGCCTACATAAGTAGAATAACAGAACATAAATTTTTAATGAAAAAAAAAAAAAAAAGAAAAAAATTTTCTTACCATTAAATGCCCTTAAAAGTTTGAGTGAATAGTTCCACCAGACAGCCGGGGAAGGGCTGGCTTGCACGAAGCAGGTCAGGGTGACGTTCAGCCCCACAGGGACTGTCATGTTGGTGTCAAGGGCTGAGGTCAGGGGCTTCATGCAGCTGTTGAGCTCCACTTCGTGAAGAAACTTCCCTGCCCTGAATTTCGGGCTTGAGCAAGTTAAATAGGGATTCATCAGGATAATGGGGGGGCCGACCGACTTGATGAACTGGACAAATCCCCGCAGGCGACAGTCGCAAATCCAGAGGTTGTCATGAAGGGCCAGGACGGTGGTGGAAATAGCTTCCGTCTGCCCCTCCGCCCTCTGGCTCCTCTGGTAGACAGGCCAGCTGGAGAAGACATCCCTGGATATGACAGTAAGCTGATTTGAGGATAGATCTAAATAGGTCAGGTTGGGCAGGTAGCGGAGCGCGTGTTCGGGAAGGACATCCAGCCGGTTGTGCTTCAGATCCAGGATTTTCAGAGCCGGGCTGTCCTGAAATGCTGTCCATGGCACCGAGCTTAACTTGTTCCCTTGCAAGCGCAGCTCCTTCAGGGCTGGCAGATACTCCAGGCTCTTGATGTGCATCACTGTGATGTTGTTAAAATTAAGCCAGAGATACTCCAAGGCACTAACGTTCTCAAAAGACCCGCGAGGCAATTCTGTTAGGTGAGAATTTTCTATTCTAATTTTCCGGATGTCCTGAGGGATGTCTGTAGGGATCTGCCTCAGCAGTGCAGACGTGCAGAGCAGACTCCTAAGGAGGAAACCAGAAAATTCTCCGGGTCACACACAGTGTTGGTGGCTAACAAACCCCTTCCCTATACAGATCTACAAGCACTTGAATAAGTTATTGTATACAGGGCACACATAAGCCGTACAGCCACCCTTCCCTGGGTTTTACACCCATTTTCCCACAAAGAATACAATTAAGTGCTACATACGCAATGATATATCTCAGGGAAATCTCATTCTATGCTCAAGCTAGTGCTCTTCAAGTGTTAGAGCAGGCATACCGTGTGGCCAGCTGGTTTTGGTGCTCCCATCATCAGCAAATATATACTGGGACGCTCCAAGCTGCTTCGCTGGGGCTACAACTAAGGTAAGTAGCGTTCTTACCTTCCATAGCTGTCTTGAGAACATGAGCATCCTGTGACACAAGACAAAACAGATGGGTTTATCTTGTGGAAGACCAGAAGTAGAAGGAAAATATGACAAACAGGGTCCATATTCTCCTTTAAGAAAGCAGTGTGCAGGGTTTGCACCAAACATGCCAACGGTCTCCAAGAAGCAAATCCTATTAGGTGTAATCTTCCTTGACGCAGAAATAAATCCTGCTGGCGACCCGGCCCTGAAGAAGACAAGTAGGATGGTTCATAGCTTCTGTCGAAGTGTTAAAAATTGCCCCCGGGACCACTCTTGGCATTTATTCATCAGCTGCAGGGATTCCCACAGACGTGGGTGGTTGGTTGGTAACATGGAGATGGAGCCAAAGCCCACTTCTGTTCCCAGGCCTTTAGTAGTTAACCAGGCCTAATTACTTTTTAATTTCAAGAGGTCCGTCTCAATCTCCTTTATTTTAGCGGCATTTATCAAGGCAGAAAAGCACAGTAAGGGCCGGATTCACAGCTGTGATTTGTCAGTGCGTGGTGCCCTAGGGCACAAGCCATCAGGCCCCAGCTCGGTGCAGGGTGCACACGGCGAGCGCCAAACCTGCTCCCCAGCCTTAGGTGCTCTGTCGTGGGAACAGAACCACGACACTATTTCTCCTCTGAAAGAACATCATCCCCCACGCGCATCATCTCCACTCTTACACGTTGGTATTGGAAACAAAAACATAGCTGTAGCCAGTCTGTTGTCTTCTCTGAGAAAAAAATAATCTCAAAAGTTAATTATCTCTCTTTAAGTATAAAATCTCAGTGCTCTCCTCTGGTTTCCCTGTAAGACATGTGATGATTGCCTTTTGGTCACCTTGAAAAGCTCAGTCTAAATAATTCTATGAGAAGGAATTTGGAGTAACCAAATTTTTTTTTTTTTTTTTTAAATCCCAAATAGAGGTTTTGGTGATAATTTCCAAGCAGCGCTGCGTTCTCCTGGGGCCATCTAGTGTGTATGGAGTTCATTACAGGCTGCAGAAAGCACCACGCAGCCGGGAAAGGGCTTAACCTCATCGCCAGTACTTGTGAAGCTGGGTCACAAATCACGATTAGCCTGAACCTACTTATCCTCTAACCTACGGGACCAGGGTGGAAAAATATTTATAGCGCGACGGCTTAGACCTGTACATGGCTGTCGGGGTTGGTGCAATAGCGCAGCCGCTGTGAGCCTGCAGGAGCCGTGGGATTGATTCTTCAGCTTTTTAATCGACGGGCGTGTTGAGTTCAAGGCAAATCACCGAAAAGATCTGGTGGGGAAAGCACGGAGGGCTCTTGTGCAGTGGCCTCCCACGTACACGCAGCAGGCCCCGAGTAGCGGGGCTGCTCTTGCTCACTGTGCCCAGCATCTGATCACAAGCATATGGAATTTTTTTTTTTTTTTAATTGAAATATTCCTTATTTGTCCATGCTGTGGTACTTGATATTTCTACAGCTCTCCCACATTTTAACGTGCCAGTGAGCCCTGAGTGAAGGAGTGAGGCTGCTGGGCTGTAGCACGGCCGATGCCGCAGTGACAAATCCCTCACCTGACTGTGGTGGCCTCTGGGGACGTTCCTTGATGAAGTTGTTGCTGTTGCAGTGTCAGTGGCACCAGCACAGTCCCGAGAGCTGGCAGACACTCCTTGTGCACTTTCAGTGGAGCTTTAGCGGCAAAGAGGGCACCGGTCAGCAGGGCTGGCTAAACTGGGAGCACTGCCGGAGCGACACTGGCAGCTGCAGTGGGACCAGCGTCCTTCCCAGTCACCCATCAGCTGCTGAACAGAGGCCCTCAGGGACCCCCGTGCCCACCCTGCAGGAGCGTGGGCACCCGGGGAGACAAATGCCTTCTGTAGTCTGCCATGGAAATAATCCCTAGTAAAACAATTATATTATTATTTTATAAATGTAATTATATCATTTTACACCTTATGGCTGGTAATAACAGTAGTAAACGACATACAACGTAGTTAGTTAGGAAACGGTTGGGAGTCAGCAGCAAACCTGGAGTTTGCCCGTGTACGAGCTGCAGAGTCTGGGAGAAAAAAAATCTTTCAGCAGAGGCGGGAGAAAACCAGTGTCTTGATGGTGTTCAGCCTCATTTGAGGTGGTGGGACACCTCCTCGCGATGGGGTCAATGGTTGCAGCCCCCCCAGATCACTGGCTGGGCCGCTCATGCTGCCCAGGCACCCACAGGGGGTTGGAGATGCCCATCGGAGCACGAGGTTGACGAGGAAAGGGCAGTAGAAAACTGCCCGTTTTGTGAGCGGCACACACACCACCGGTAGGGCCGCGGGGTTGGGCTGGTCTGGTTGGTTTGGCGGTCACCAGCACCAGGCAGGTCAGCAGGAGGGATTTTAAAGCCCAGCCTTGCGAAAATCTCCTTTGCCACCTTCACATCCCTCCTCCGTGGTCCACAGAGAGGGTCCTAAAGTACGTGGAGGCTAAAAGTCACAAAAAAAAAATTAATGAAAAAAAGTGTTATTTATTAACAGGTTTATATATGGAGTAAAAAACTATCGGTTGATCCCCCCATGTACATCTTTGGGCACAGTACGGGTGCATAATGCTCCATATCCTGGGGTGAAGCAAGTAAAATTTCATCCAGGCTTCTCTGTTAGAAGAGAAATTACATTAATTTAAATAAATTAGCTGATTAACAGAAAAAAAAAAAACAAACCACAAAACCACAAAACCTAACATTGCAGTTTTCTTTCTCTCACATGAGCTCTCCTCCCAGTCCCACCAATCTTCTACCAGGGTGGAAACTGCTTTTCAAAGGGGGTGGTTAGTTAGTACCATGGGCCGATGCTCCAGCTGTAGTCAGGCTGCTCAAGAGGCCGTTTCTCTAAATATTCCCAAACCCCAAGTGTACTCAGAAGGTTCAGTATTAACCTGAGAAAGCAGTGGCGAATCGCTTATCAAAATCAGATGAAGTAGTGGGCAGAGAATTTACTCACTCGCTAGGAGAGGGGGGGGAAAGAAAAAAAAGTAAAAACAAAAAAATAAGTAAATGGAAAAAATCTCCCAAACAGTGTCAGCCACAGCTATTCTGTTTATGTTCCCTACTGGACTGGGATTTTGTGGCCTTTTTAGTCCAGCCCAGTTTATACCTGCCTGTAAATTTAATGGTCACTTTGGTGACGGCAGACGTCCGCTCCCTTCAGCTGCTCTTTAACACCAAGTGGCATCCTGGCTGAGTGTTGATTAAATACGCGCCGAAACTTCTCAGGCATTCCCAGAACACTCCTGACACTGAGGGGCTTTGAAAACATTCCAATGGTAAAAAAAAAAAAAATATCCCAAGGTTAAAAAGCTCCTGAAGAAGCTTCTCATCAAAGTCATTCTTCAATGTCCTTTTTTTTTTTTTTTAACTTCAGCATTACTGTCCTATTGACATTTTTAGGTTGTTCTTCATTTTTTTTTTTCATAAATTTATAGGTATACACATTCACACCTTGTGTCCTACATTTTTTTGATCATTTAAAGACTTTTTAGTCTATTCTTTCTGGGCACACAGAAATAAATATGAGAGTGACCACACCACACAACTACAGCTGTGCAGCATGCTGGAATCACATTGTGGAAATAAGATGTTTGTCAGCCTGAACATGATTTTACAAATGTGGAATTTTTATACACAGGTGGCATTAAAAATATCTGCGGAAATCAGAGCCGATACTCGCCCTTGTCTGAATCTACTTGCTGGATAGCCTGGACACTTTTTAAAAAGTTTGGGAAAATATATTTCAAAGCCTTGACATTTTTATTTTTTTTTTTACATTTCTTCTTGCACTTCAACTACTTGCAGTAATCCTTTTTAATCACTTTGGGCACATTATATCATTTATAATCTGGTCAGTTCCCTCATTTTGATAGCTGCTTTTCTCTAGATCATAAATAAGAAATAACAATTTTCCAGTACACTTCAGAGCTATTTGGATTAGGTTTTAAAACACAATTACCTTCTTTTTAAAACCATATGCATAATTTTTCAATTTTACACTACTCTGATTCCCAAAATAAGAATATAAAAGATACTGCAGAAGGAGGAGCTTGTCTGTCCTTGTTCTGTGTCACATGAAGTGCTCGCTGCGGAGTGGCTCCTGATGCTCTCCAACGCCTCAGCCCAGGCAGGCAGTGCAAACCTCCTGCCTAATGCGGGTGGACAGTTACTTTACTCCTAAGTGTTACCGAAGTGGTCCAACACTCATCTGAGAAGAAATTTTTAAATTATTTAATAGTAAAAGTAGGGAACATTGTACTACAAGAGATTCCAAAATATATCGTTTGACAGTGGCAAAATATTTGAAACAGACCCCCAAAAAGCAACTTGACACAAAGAGATTATTAACAGACAAAACATTTTCCAAGGAAAAAGAAAACCAAACACAACAAAGTGTCAAAAAAAAAAAAAATGCTACCAATGCAGTAATTCTAAAAGATATTCAGATGTTCGTTTAGGTTCTTGCAGCACATGTCTGCCCAAGGATTGACTTCAGCTGAGTAAGAAACTGTTTCCAGGGGTGAATATTGTCCTTGCCTGAATGCTGAGGCAGCTCCATTCACATGTCATGACCAGAGAAGGAAGCTTGCTCGAGCTAACCCGGCTGAAACCCGGTGACGAGCACCCCTTCGGTTAAAATAACAACAAAAAATCCGGTGAGGTGTTTATCTTTACGCGCATCGTACCACTGAAATTCTGACCCAGAGCACTGAAGTTGCATTCAGCAGAAAACCAGCATATGGAATAGTTTGACATGTCACCCGCGGTTTAGCAAGTAGAGGGTTTCTTTTCTGACCAACACCAGACAACACAGAGCTTATGCAAGTTTCCATCCATCGATTATCTCGCCGAGTCCCGGCGCAGTGGAGGGGCAGGAGGGGTTTGGAGCGGCAGCAGCTGAGATGCTGAACTGTGCTGCCTCACCTGTGAGCCACTGAGAACAGCCATAGGACACAGAGAAGAAAAATCATCTTTGTTCTACTTGGGATCACTACTTATTCAACGTGCGAAAAAAATATCCGGTAGAGTGTGTAAAACTTCACACCTCCACAGTGAAGGGACAGGACGATCTCTCCATCCTCCTGGAGAGCAAAGAGCGGCCGCGCTGGCCCAGCCGGTGCCTTTTCCTTCTCCAGCTCAGGGACGGGCTGATGGAGGGGCCAGAGCGGCTCCTCCGCAGGCCTGGGTGCAGCCGATCACCCGCCTCTTCAGGGCCGGCTTATCCACCCAGGGCCGTGTCAGGCTGATTCCCGCGCAGCCCAGAGATACTGCTGCGGACGTGGGCAGGAATGGGCCCGGTGATACAGCAAGCCTTGCAACTCATCCCAAAAACCGCTACTGGAAAAATATTTTTGTCCTACTTGGAGAGTGACTCTAAAAATCATCCTGGGAAATGCAACTGCATAAATAAGTAATAGATCTGTTACATACGACATATTTCATCAGGTAATCCGTTGTATTAAAATACATCGCTTTGCACAACGTTATTCTGAAACCTAAAAATCTATGCAGTCCGGGAGTAGCGTGCGTTATTTTATACAGAGATTGACAAATTTTCCCAATGAGAGAGAACTTCTTTATCACTGCCGTCAGGAGTACAGGGATTATCAGAAACTGTTGTCACGTGTCCCCTGTGGCTTGTATTCATGTTGAGATCAAACCACTTGTTTCTTCCATCGGGCCAAGCGACCTGACATAACCGAAATCCTTCTGCACGAGGGGGACTTGCAAAATCCATGCAGGGCTCCACCCTAACAAGTTCCAACGGTGAATTTTGTTAACCCGCACTGCACATACACACCCAGAATGTGAGTGGAGATCCTCCCGATAAATTTACAAGTACACGTTTTAAAACAATCCAGCAAGATTTGTCAGTTATCATTTCAACTAGGCTGGATCCCTCCCGATCAACATTTGGCAGAACGTGTATAATTTTCTTCGTGAAGTAGATTCATTACAAAGAGAAAAACTTTATGTACAGAATTACTACATGAGGGACTAGAGTCGAAAATTACACATCTGGGAAGTGCTTTGTGGTAACCCCTCAGATCCACGTTCCGGTGTAACTGCTTCGCTCACCCTGGCTCTGACAGCACGTTTAGATTAATATTAGACAGGGTTTTTTCAGGGTTCTTGAACCTGTGAAATGTTTGAAACGCACCGAGCCTCGGCCACCACTGATGCCGTGGTGGAAGAAGGGCTGATGTGCGCGGGCACACGTCACACGCCCCTGCTCCGCGCAGAGCGGGCGCTGCCACGACCAAAGCGCGCGTGCCCGGCTGAGCCCTCTGGTCCTCACCACCAGCCTCGTCAGGAGAGCAGCAGCAACGACAGGGCTGCTCTGGGACACTTTTGCAGAAGTGTCTAACGTAGGTTTTTCAGTACTGACTACAAAGCCTCACAACACCAAACATAATTAGTAGAGTAGGCTGCTGTATGATTTTTAACGAGCACGGCTGATATAAAACAGACTCTACTAATTACAGTACAGCTACAGAATGCCAGCAAGAGCTGTGAGGTACCGTTGTTCAAGAGAATCTGAAGAATGGTGTCCGGGGCCAAAATGCAATCACAAAACACTCCCTTATGTGTTCTTAGCAGTGGATTGGGGTTTGGCTCTTGATTTCTACCTCCTTTGCACGTTTCTCCGATTTCAGAGCATAGAGCTGTTTTTACGACGGACATACCCAGAAGGGTTGCACTGCACCTACATCTGTGTTCAGCGATCGATTGAGAATCGAGTTGCATGTTTCATGCAAACACGGGGGATGTAAAAGGTGAGACTGTCAATTTTCACCTTCACAGACATTTATGTTAAAATTGCTAAACACCCCCCCTGTTTGACAACCAAAAGAACATCAAAAGAGCTGAGAATAAAATATTTAGCATATTGCATAGCAGGTACTAAACAACACCAGGCAGCACGCACTCGGAAATGTTGCTTAATGTCCTCACACTCAGTGTGCATGCTTCATTTTATGAAAATAAGAGTGGTCCAGCAGAACGAGGCCATTATCACAGAAGCTTTTGACTGGGCACAAACCAGCAAACCCCAGGTGGGATGAGCAACGTTTCTGTAAAGCTGGGGCACCATCTCCCCTCTTGCCTTCACCCCCAGAACATGTCAGTGCCAGAGGCATTGAGAGGGTGACCTGCAGTGCTGGAGCAGAGTCCCAACTGCAGCCACGGGATTTCCCCTGGGAGCTGACAACCAGCCTACGTAGTGTCAGCAAAAGTATTCGTTAGGCTGCCCCTCTATCTTTGGGATTGCTTCCGAGTCCACACTGGACCGGGCGGACAGCAGCCTGTTGGACTCGTCGGGGGTATGTCTAGTCAAGTATTCTCCTTCCACACCTTTCGCCTTGGCCCCTGGGGACAGGCTCTCAAAGGTTACGTAGGACTCCTGGATTTCTTTGGGTTTCCTCCCAAAGCACTTCTTGCAGCGCCTCTTCAGTGCTCCACAGCAGACCACTAGTGTCAGGGGGACAGCAATGACGCAGGCCACGCTGATGACAACCACGTTGATGAGCTTCTGGGTCCCTCCCGCGCTGGCAACTTCGTCTGTGGAAAATATGATGCATTGCTCCTTCTTGGGGATCAGCCCTTTCACGCAGACACACACGATGTATTTGGTCTTCGGCAGGAGCCCGTAAACGGTGACCTTGGTCTTGCCCGGCTCCACGTTGATCCGCCGCATGTCTCTCTCCCCGAAGATGGCGTAAAGGACACTGAACACTGTGGTGTTCTTTGCCAGAGGGGCCTTCCAGACCAGGGTGATACTCTGGTCGGTGTCCCCTATCACCCTGACAGACCTCACCACGCGCTCCGGCTCCTCCTGACCCGTAGGTGGGCTCACCAGCAGGTTTCTGGGGCCGTTGTCTTGTGCCACATCTGGGAGGAGACCCTCTCCAGTGCCCACCCCAGCGCCCAGGGTAGGCACGGTGGAGGTGGTGATAATGTACCTTGCCACGAGCTTGTCATTGTAGGCAGCTGCTTCCATCTCGCTCGCCTTCCCCCTCCATGCGCCTCTGGCATTAGAGTTGGGGTCATCCGTGCTTTCCGAGTCTGTGATGATCAGAGATATGAATGCCTCTGTCGCCCCCAGAAAGTTCTTTGCTTTGCAGATGTACTCTCCAGAGTCCACATAGGAGACTACAGGCAGGCCCAGAATAGACCAGCTCATCCCATCACCAGAAACCTCTTCGTGAACTGCAAGGGCGGAAAAACGTAACATAAATAGGCCATAACCAACAGAATTAATCACACGTTTCATAAAATATTAAGATTCGATCAGCCAAACGTCTGCTCGATCCAGTACAATCATCACTTCTTTTTGCCACCAAGAAGATTACAAAATCAAAGTAAATCCAAGAAAAGGACATTAACGCTAAAATTAGGTTATGTGGGGATTTACACTGCTTCAGACTGAATATATGTGAAGCGTTTGATGCTATTTCCTCCAAATTGATGTACAGTTTGAAAACAAAACAGGAAAGGTTCTTCCATTAAAAAAAAAAAAAAAAGCTTAAAAGCTCTTATGTAGGTACCATATTGGAGTAGGCGGTAGCACGATCTATTTGAACATTAGGTGCGGTTCTCTGAGTCACAGAAAATACAAACAGTGGAGATTTTCTTCTAAAAACCGTATCTGGACTAGTCTATATGGGGAAAAATAGCTGAGAAATATTATTCCTTTTACTGCTATATGAGCACAAGCTTTTATATTGAGCCAAACACAGGGAAGTCTGATCACTGAACAAACAGCTGAGTGTCGGTTTTCTCATTTGGTTTACCAGGAGGCTAAAACTAGCTTTTTTTTTTTTTTTGCCTTTTTCTATTTGTGCAGAAAAAAATAATAATAATTAAAAAAAAAAAAAAAAATACTCTCTCTGCCCTTTCCCACCGAAAGGTGAACCAGGGAGATGTCTGAAAGGCAAAGGTGAGACAGAATTCAAACTTCTCCCAAGCCCCTGTGGGGGCAGAATCCAGCCTGGGCAATCAGGACTCGTTCCAACGGCAGCAGCTGTTTGATTATTTACTGAATGGGTATGTTATTAACCATAAAGCTACTGGCCTTCCTACGGCACCTTCCCGTACATACGGACTGTGGGGCGTTCCTCACTCCTTTCCGTTCAGAACAGCGTTTCCCACAGCCGTATCACAGCGCTGGCCCAGAAGCTGCCATTGCTGAGAGATAATGTGTTTTTTCAGCCAACTTTTTATTGAAAGGTGCTAAAGTCTGATTTAATGGGGCACAAAATACATCATTCTCAGTTGTAGCTCGAAGTAAACTCAACATACGCTTTCGGGAAAACATCCTCTGTTTTATTTTTTTGTCCTGCCTCTCTCTCAAGTGTAGGAGGGATGCTCGCAGCATGATGGGTAGACATTAGCGTTATGAGGAGCGGCCCTGCGACATCCTGCGCATCCTGCACAACAGAGCAATGGCTTGTGCAGATCCCAGAGAGGATATTTATTACAAGCGGTTCTACCGCTGTGAAAGAAAAACGCTCTCTCCCCTGTTTCTGTGCACCGAGGAGCCCTGTAACCCTTCGAATATCAGATGCCGTACTTGGCAATTCATCCACCGAGTTTGGACCCGCTGTGAAAGCCGGTGCCAGGCCTGGGACACAGAGCATTCAGGGGAGGCTGGAGGGATGAAGGTCCTGACCTAAAACCTCTAGGAAGAAAAGCTAAGGACAATTGCTTTGAGTCCAGCAGAGGTTTTTTTCCCTAAATTCCCCCCATATTAAAGGGCCAACGCCGCAATTCTAGCTCTGAGCATTCTTGTGAATGGAAGTCAAGCGTGATCAGGTCACAAACCCAGTGGCTGTCTGAAGGCTTCCCCCACGAGATCGGGGAGCACAGAAAGGGACCTGGTCACTGTTCCTCCCACAGAGCATTGACTCTGTCAGCCCATCGGGAATGAGCCATTTCTTGGCAGCACTGTCGCTGAAGCAGCGTATTCTTCAGCAGACTAGTGGCTTTTTTTCTCCTTTAATATATCAGTAATGTTACATTTGCAACCTTTCTTCCTTTGCCACATCAGATTTGAATCCCAGCTGAATTCACATCAGACATCTCTCTGCCAGAGGTGTTTCAGCTCATCATTAGTCTCAAAGACCCATAAAATAATTCCGTGGGAAGCCTTTTCAGCAATGGAATAACTAAATAACTAAAACAGCCTCTTGTTACAGCCAGATGTATTTCATTGCTTCAGCTCCAAGAGATTGGCAGAAGCCCCCTTGATCTGTCTCACCACCACAATTGTAATGAAACAAAGCAAACCCCACTTTTTACCCGTGATAATACATGTGTCAGATGATGTTTACATTAACATGTAAGTAGTTTTATAGTCCACAGAAAAATCACAGTGTGATAGTGAATTACGTACACTACTATTGTGGATTAGAGTGAATCTTAATTTTGCACCACTTTTTTGGGGTCTTTTATCAGTGGGAAGGATCTATTGTGGTAGAAGCTTCCATTTGCTGCGCAGTCTGTAGAAGATAAAGGTGCGGGTCTCCCTCAGAAAAGCTTAAACCAAACCCACCTGTGCCGTTGAGTTGAGCACCATCAGCTCTTCTCCAGCTGAGCTCAGGAAGGGGCACCCCCGTTGTCCCACACCTCAGCAGCACGGTGCTGCCCAGGATGGTCTTGACTTTGGCCACGGACGTGTGTACGATGGGGCTTTGACACTTCCTTAGCTCAACTCGGCTGAAGGAGACTCCTGCAAGGCTCCGCGGGGTGAAGCATTTCAGCCGGGGCTCGATGAACGCTACGTTCGGGGACTGGAAATTTAGGAAATGGACCATTTCATAGAGACTGCAGTCACACACCCAGGGATTGTCTTGCAAGCCTGTCGAAATAAATCAGAGCAGGAAGTCACTCCAACAGCACCTCCTGTTTCTGTATTTCAGCAGACAAACTGCGACGGGCTCCTCACCCGCCCGACAGGGACTCCCCGGGCACATGCAGAGGCAGGCAGGGGTGGGAGCATCCCCACAGCCTGCCGCTGCTGCTGGACGAGCCTGAGGGACCCATCCCTGCCAGGATAAATACGGCTGACTAAAGCGTCTCAAAATCTGGGGCTGAATTCATGTTCTTTAAGTGCAAAGCAGAATTATTCATATCATGGAAACATTGCACATCAAGCAGCAAACCAAGAAGCTGTTATAAACACATTTGCTTCTGGGATGGAACAAAGAAGTAGCCACAGGGGAGGGTCGAGTTGGTCTGGGGTGAGGATTTTTTTAGGTTTGAAGAGACAGGCCAGGAAACTCTTCTTGCTGGAGATTATTAAAATATTAGCCAGGTTGTCGTGCCAGCTGTGAGGCCTGCAGTAGGTGTAGGTGATCCTACCTGACTGTGACAGTTCTTTTGCAGCCTTGTTATTCCAAGTTATTTTCATTATTTTAATGATCAGTTGGTTTCTCTCCTGAAATGCTAAGTTGCACTCGATAAAATCAAAGAACTGTTTTAAGGATGAAATTGAAGAATATACATGTTACAGTATATGAAAGTAAAAAATCAGTAACTATATTAAGAATATACACATAGGAAGGGTGTATTGAAGAATACACTCCTGTTTTTAGAATCCCAGAATGTTCCTCTTTTTCTTTTTTTCCTGCTACCCCAGTGTGTACCTATTGAACTCAAATTCTGAAAAAAAAAACAAAAAACGAGACATTATCAAAAATAGACCTGCGGAGATGGTGCTGAAAGAGCAAATCTGGAACTGGAGTAACGCGTCTCCACGAACAGAAGTGGCTTCATCCCAGCTAAATCTGTGTCATCCTACAGACAAATATTCACATTCACCTTCCCGTGGACAAGCTCACGGTCTCTCAGCACCCGAGCCAGCGGACCTGGCACTGGGGACATCGATGCCCCCTCACGCCAGGCGCGTCTGAAACTGAGCCGGGAGCACGGCTTCCCAGGGCCCTGCCCACCCAGCACTGAGCTTTGCCGCCTCCAGGAGGGCTCCATCTCCTCTTCTCCGCAAGGACGTGGCTCGGGGCTGGCACCTGCCTGGTGGCAGAGAACACCAAACTCCCTCCGTCCCCGGCGGGAGGAGACCACAGGTGCCCGCCCTGCGGTGCCGCTCTCGCTGGCCCCAGTGCTCGTGGCAGCAGCCGTACAAGGACCGGCTTTCTGGAAAGAACCGAGTTTTGACAGAAACGCGTGGGGTGGCCACCAGGCTCCCCGAGTGTCAGGGGGATGCTTGAATTTCCCAGAGACAACAGAAGCACCGGCTTGGTCAGAAGTCCCGGAGGCCTCAAATAAAGTGTTTTAAAGATTCTGCTGATATCTCCCTTCTGAGACCGCTGCGTAGCGCCTTCCCTGCGCTTGGGAGGGGACTGGGAAGCTGTGGGCCTTAGCCGGAGGGCACTTCTTGTAATTTAATATTTCAAAGTGAAGGGACGAAGTAAAGAATGGAAGTTCAGCTTGGCTTTGTCGGTTTATGGCAGTTTTTGCTAGGAGCTTCCTTCTGACTCCGCGCACTAGATGACAATTTATTCCGGATTCCCCAGCCCCAGCTGATGCCGTGGCACCCCCGGAGCCAAGTGGGCTCATGTGGGCAATCCTCGTGCAAAACCTCGCAGCCTGGGCACCGACTATCAGCCAGCAAGCTGCCCCTGGAGGTACTTCTTGAAGTGGTCTACAGGCAAAGGCTCTGCAGAGGAGTCACCACTGTGCACTGTAGACAGAGGAAGAGACTGGGCTCACTCTGCATTATTCATGGATTTTTTTATGCCTCCATGAGAAGCAGCAATGAGCAGAGGGAAACAGAAACGTGCAGCTGTGTTCTCCCGTTCTGCTCCTGCAAGGGACAAGTCTTTCATACACCTGGTCCCAGGGGGTGTCAGCAGGACAGGGCCTAGGAGCTGGAGTGCCTGTTCATTACCGTATTAATCTTAGCGTTATATTCATTTGCCTGCATTAATTTTTTAGGATCCTGGCACAAGCAACCTGTGCACAGCTGGCTACATAAACACTCAGGTTGGCCACAAGCATCAAGGCATGAGTTTTTCTCAACAAAATACTCTCCTAATCTATACTGAATGGAATCACATTTTTACATGTAACTTGACTCTTAAAAAAAAAAAAAAAAGAAGACAAATAAATGATCCAGGAAGCGTCTTGTCCTGCCACAAATAAAATGGGCAATCCCAACCAGCCAGCTTTGGCTTAAAGATCTTGGTACTGCATCTGGCAAAACAAGATGATGAAACACCTGCTCCTCTCCTGATGCTAATGAAACCTTAAACATCTGCTAAGGACACTAAAAGCTTTATCGGTGGCAATTTGAATATTTTTCAAGTCCTGTGTCTCTTTCTACTGCAAGCTGGTTTTAAAATCTTTATCCCCTTAAATTTATCCAGAGAACAAAGAGCAGCAGATACGTCCCAGAGTGAGAGAAAACTGGCAAAATCTGTGAGATTATCTCTGGTGAGATTATCAGCAAGTGCCTGAACTCACATCTGTGGCTGTAGAGGCAGCACACACAGATGCCCACACACCGCAGTCCAAACGCAGGCGGTGGAGGTGGATCAGCTCATGGCAAGTGGAGACAGCAGATGGCAACAACTCCGAACCATCACCAGCCTGCTCTGGATTTGAACCAGTGCACCATGGCTAAAAGGCTGAGTACTAATCCCCTGAACTAGGAAATGCGCTCAAAACCTCATCTGGGGATGCTGCAACAGTCCTCTGTCATACGCCCTCCGACACAAAAATGGACAATTGCCCTAAAGCCACCCTTCTGAGGACCCCAGGACTGCCACCAAAAAGGAGATTCTTGTAATTTTATAGCTGCCCTTGAAGGCAGCACCATCTTGGTGGCTTTGGAGAGACTAGGGTTTAATTCTGTGTGAAGAGATAAACAGGGATCTTAAAAGAGACAAACTGGCCGTCCTGAGCCAGACTTTATGCTCAGTGATGGGTTTATTCCTCTTTGATTTGGGCATAATATATATCTATCTTCTTATTTTAATGCTGCTTAAAATTGATCGATTCCATAGTAACCGTTATTAGAAAAGAGCACATGAGTTATGTGGAGCTCTAATCATATTTGTGTTTCTGTCAAAACCGGCACCATCAGTAAAGAAAAAGGGCTTGAGCAAGAGTCCTGTTACAAAGATTCAAGCGAGTGATAAAGTTTATGGTGTAATAAACTGGGTGTGGGAACCCTGAGATGAGTTTGCTAACATGTAAATGGATTTGCACGCTTTACAGCGGGGTAGTAAATTGTACGCAGCAGTGTACTTGCTGTGGTAACCACCGAGGATGAAAATGCTGCAGTAGGATGCGGAGCTCCTGACCGCTGTGCCCCGGCGAAATAGCGGGTGCTGCTCTTACCCAGGATGATTTTGGAGTTGTCATTGGGGAAGTAAGGAACGGCCTGGAGGTTGGTCCAGGTGGCGATAAGAGCCTGAGGAAGAGTCATCAGTTTATTGCTGGACAGGTCCAGGTATGTGATATTCCTGACGTAGCGAGCAGCATCTGGAGGGATGGAGGTGAGCTCATTGTTGTGTAGATCCAGAAGCCTCAGCTGTGGCACGTCAGCCAGGGTTTCCCAGGGGAACGATATTAAGTAGTTCCCATCCAGCCTCAGCTCCAGCAGGCGATGAAGGCCCTTGAAAGTGATGCCACTGAGGCTGGCCAGGGAGTTATAGGGCATCCAGAGGTACTCCAGGTCGCGGAGCGCGTGGAAAGCCTCTCCCGGCACCCTGCGCACGGCCGTCTTCTCGATCCGAAGCTTGGAGGTGTCTACAGGGATGTTGACGGGAGGGATGGTCATCTCGGGGTCGTTACACAGCACCGTCCTGCCGGGGAAACACAACACGGATGTGACATCTTGTACTTTGAAAGGGTTTTGAAACCTTTTTAATGCAAGATTTTGATCCACCTGTCTGTTTTTTCCAAGCTGTCTTGTCGTTTCTTACCTGCTGCTGATCCCCACATCACCACCACGAGTACATCAACGCGCAGTAACTCGTATGGACCTTTTGGCTGCAGGGACTGCAGCGCTGTGCCTCTCCTGGAGTGGGGCGAGTCTGAGTCTGGCCCATATAGTGTTGCTGCTTTTTTTTTTTTTTTTTTTTTTTTTTTTTTTTTTTTT